CCCTAAACCCTAAACCCCAGGAGCCTCGGCCCCGAGTCGCATGCGGCGGCGGTCGCTGCGGTGCGCAGCGCCGGCGGTGGGGAGGCGACAGCGCAATAAAGGGGCCGAAATGAGGGTTGAGGGTTTGGGGTTTGGGGTTTAGGGTTTAGGGCCTTAGAGGCTTATTATAACGCGATGATATTCTAATTATTAAGGCTCCTACAAGGGTGGTTGTCAAAATTATGGTCCCTTTTTGGGTCCTTATTATAATACGGCACCTATTATTTAGGGTACCCCAAAAGGGACCATAATTTTGACAACTACCCAACTAAGGATTTAGGATTTAGGGTTTAGGGGCTTAGAGGCTGATTATAAGGGTCTAAATAATTACCCATACCATTGTGTGGGCTCCTTATTATAACTATAGTATAGCGGGCCCCAAAACTCGAAGCCCCCTACATTACAACTTGACTGCAGCGATCGATCCTGTCGCATCCTTGAGTCGTGCGGAGATTTTTTCGCTGTAGGGGTCTTTGGGCGTTGAGGATGTGCTTCTGGCTTTATCTTTTTAGGCCCAGTCTAGGACATTTTCAGGTGGCCTATATACCTAAAAGAAGCCTTATAGACCCTAAACTCCCCACCTGAAAATGTCCTAGACCCAGGCAAGCTCAAGGCACAACCACTGAACCGATGTGGAGCAGCCAGGTCTCGAAGAAGCAGACAAGCCCCAGAGACTCCATTATCCCTTAATTAAGGAGTACACCTTAAATCTTATTAGGGTTCCTATTATAGTTTAGAGAATACACCTAAAATCTCATTGGGGTTCCTACTATAGTTTAAGGTATAGTCCTTAATTGATTTGGTTTTGGAGTCTCCGGGGCCGTTATGTCTTTCAGCATCCTTCTCCTGAGCCCTAAACCCCAGACTCCAAGCCCTAAACCCTAAACCCTAAACCCGAAACCCCAAGCCCTAAACCCAAAACCCGAACCAAAAGCTCCGTAGGCTTTTCCACCAGAGCGAAACTCTGAAGGGGAATCGGGGGACTAAAGGAGGGACCCTCACAGGGACTCTTGGGGGTTAGAAAGGGGCATTGTGAGACTATATAAGGGGTATATAAGGTTTATATAGGGTATTTGGATTAGGGGTCCCTTCTAGGGGTCCCTGCTATTGTCCCTTAAAGGTATAGATTTCGGCCTTCCAATCGATGCATTTCCAGTGGTCGGCAGGCGAACACCTCTCTGCGGGTGTGGAGTGTGACGCTGGCTCCTTTGCAGAACCTTAAGGACCAAATGAACCCCAAAGGGGTTTCAGGTTCATATACCATATAGGGACCCATAGTATAAGGATATAGGGCCCCTACTTATAAGGGTCATCTGGTCCCCAAGGAAGTCTCCATCCGGAGGAGCGGAGAGGTGTCGGGCTTTTGTCCTTGGGGGATCAGGGGATACAGTCAGTAAGTACCTACCCATAAGATTTAAGGTATATTCCTTAATTTATAGGGGTTTTGGAGTCTCTAGGTAGGTGAAGAGAGGATCCTAGATGCTAGAATTTCTAGAAGTCATATGGGGGCTCCTTGTAGTAAGGATCCTACTATTTAGGGTGCTATATGAGGGTCCCCTATTTTCGGAAACTCCCATATAAGAACGGTTACGAGTCTGGTGACCCGACTTGAGCACTGTGTAAACCCAGTCACGATCTACTGCCTGTTTCCGATATAATCCTCCCGACCTTCCCGACCCATGCAACGTTTTAAGCATGAGGACTGTTTTTTTGCATTTTCTTATAGTTTGAGCGCAATGGGCCGTTAGACGGCTCACTATAGATGCTTCCAACACAGGCCTAGAGCCAGTTCTGTAGTCCAAGCTCGCCATGAGCCAAGACTAGCTTTCAAGACGAAAGATGCATCCCAAGCCGCCAGATGCGGTCAAATGTACGATCACAGCCATATGCGGTTTCCGAAAAGGCTAGGCTGGAGCTCAAATCCCAAAGGCTCCATGTACCTTGATAGTAGATACTTAGGCCTTAAAGGGGTCTCGCTATAGGTACTTTAAGGCCAAAGTATCTACTATATGGGTACATGGAGCCTTAGGGAATTGTAATCTCAAAGTTGCCCATAGGCCCCATAGTAGTTCCTTTTCGTGGCTTTTAGGATCCCATTAGGGAATCTTTCAAAAAGGAACTATTATGGGCCTATGGGTGACAACAAAGATGAAGGACGCAGCGTGTAAGCCGTGCCCAGCTCTTTGAGCCCCATTGAGCCCCTCAAAAAAGGGAATGTACCTTCAATCCTACTCGGGTTCCTGTTATAGTTTCGGGTTCCTATTATACTTTAAGGTATATTCAATGCCAAAAAGGGAATGTACCTTCAATCTTATTCGGGTTCCTCTTATCATTTCGGGTTCCGACTATACTTTACTGTATATTCAATGCCGAGGATGATCTCCTCAGCGATGCGCCGGAAGAGCTCCTTGGCGAAATGTTGTCACCGCCTGGTCGTTGAAACCGTCACAGCTTTGTTTCTGACCCAACAGCACTTAAAACAAACTAGGCCTAAACTCTAAAACCCGATACTAAATTTTGTGTAAAGCTCGTCTCAGATCAGTGAATTATTTGCATTGCTGGAGTTTCTATGAGCCCGAAGCAGCAGTCATATAATGATCATCACAGTGATCCCTTTGCTTTAGCCGTCGCTAAGGTTCAGCTTGGAGCATCACACCTGCGCTTTCCTGAAGGTCGACGCCGAAGGACCCAAACGGAATGATGCGTTCAAACAGGGTAAATCGTCTCGAGGGTTTATAGGGCGTGGGCTGCAGAGCCTGGTATGAAGTCGAACGTAGGGGCCTTAATAATTACCTATGCTTGTTTTTTTATGTTTTAGGGGGGGGGGGCTCCTTATTATAAGTATAGTAGAATAGGCCCCAACACCCTATTCTAATTGTTAAAGCCCCTATACCCTAACCCCCCAAAAGAACCCTTTAAGGAACCTTTTCAAGGAGCCCCCAAAACCCTATTCTAATTATTACGGCCCCTATATGGGTAGTTCTCTAAATTCAGTACGGCACCCTAAACCCTAAACCCTAAACCCTAAACCCTAAAAGAACCCTACTTTAGAGAACTGCCCCTAAATGATCGCGCATCAAGGATGCCCTGGGTTGCGATCTTTTTGAGTCTTACCATGGCTGCATGCATGACCCTAATTAACCCAAAGGCTCCATGTACCCAAATAGTTGCTTAGGCCTTGAAGTACCTATATAGGGACCCCTTTAAGGCTTAAGTATCTACTACATGGTTGCATGCATGACCCTAATTAAGGGCCCAAGCACCTAATAATCATATGGGTAATTACCTAAATGAGGGCCCCCTTTTGGACCCCAACTATATTACGGCACCCTTATAAAAAGCGCCCTCCAACAGGGACTCTAATTCAGAGAACTACCCATATACTCTCCCAAATATTAACCTAGAGAACTACTATCCGCAACCAAAGTACTTTATTATTGAGTACTTTGGACCCTTAGGGTGAGATAAGAACCCGCTCGAGACCAGAGCACGTGGCGTCGAAACTGCGGTACCCGGAGAGCCCACCCAATACCCCTTAATTAAGGAATATACCTTAAACCATATAATATGAAGGTCCCTAGGTATATTCCTTAAATTAAGGGGTATTGGGCTCTCTGGGTAGGAGATGACCCAGATGTTCTGCGTGGTGCCTCAGGCGTGAGTCTTTCCATCTGGGACAGGGCCAGGCTGGCTCAGAATTGTGTTTTTGTGGAAGGACAGGTTACGTTACCGTACTACTTATCAAGCATGTCCGCAGTTTGGAGTTTTTGCCGGAATTTCATAAGATGGTGCGGTAATCGCATAGTCGCGAGGGCGTGTACTGCTCTTCGTATCCTATTATGGAGTTCTCAGATGACTAGGAGTGCAGACTAGCACACACTTTGGGACCAAATGACCTGTATAAGTAGGGGCCCTATATCCTTATACTATGGATCCCTTTATGGTATATGAACCTGAAACCCTTTTGGGGTTCATTTGGTCCTTAAGGCTAGCACCCTGCTGCAAATTTCTTCCGAAGCCGAGGCGAGCCAGGACAGCCTCGCAGGTAACTGACAGCTAAGTATTGTATCATATGGGTAGTTTTCTAAATTAGGTTACCTTTTAGGGTCCTTCTTAACAGGGTGCCGTACTATATCGGGGACCTAAACAGGGACCCTAATTTAGAGAACTACCCATACAGGTTACAAAGGCAAACGCGCGTTAGAGTTTTCAGTCTGATCAAGCCCTCTAGCCCTACGCCCTGTAACCCTAAACCCTATAAACCCTTGAAGCCTCGTAAACCTTAAGCCCCGTGTATTCCCTGAGCGTTTAACCCTAAACCCTAAACCCTAAACCCTAAACCCTAAACCCTAAACCCTAACCCTGAGCGTTTAGCCCTGCGACGTGGCGGAGGCTTGCTCCGGAATCCAAAGCTTCTCGGAGCCATCGTGGAAGAGCACAGGCAACGGTAGTACAAGTATGTGACCCAAAAGCTCCATGTACCCGTATAGTAGATACTTAAGCCTTAAAGGGGTCCCTATATAGGTACTTCAAGACCTAAGTATCTACTATTTGGGTACATGGAGCCTTAGGGTGACAAACAGTGTAGCATATTATAGATACTACAGTATACTAAGATTATAGTACATCATAGCAAATAACAGTGTAGCATATTACAGATACTATAGTATACTAAGATTATGGTACATCATAGCAAAGCATTATAGTGCATTATCTTCCGCAGCTTGCAACGGCTCCAACGCACTTCCCTTGCGACTTGCGAGGGAGTTCCGATTATAGGACGAGGGCTTTGGGGTTTAGGGTGTGGGAAGCTTAGCAGGTAAAGGCCATTGAAGTAGAACAAACGGACATCATAGTATATTATAGTACGTTATAGTATATTATAGACCATGAAACTGATATAATATCAGTACGGTAATATAAGTACAATGAAAATTAAAAAAAAGATATATATATATATATATATATATTATTATATATTATAGCATTATAGCATCCACTCTGCTAAGCTGGTGCAGCCTCGCAGGGAGCTGCTGGAGCTCAAAAACCACGGGGCCCAGGGCGTTGCGGAGGCATTGAGCTCGCAGCCGGGTTGCCCCAAAACTATCAGGGCTTGGGGTTTAGGGTTATATCTATTACAACTACATTAGCATTGTTATGATTATGGTTTTTCTCAATAATACTCAATAGTAGTCATAGTAATTAATGATGATAGTAAGCGTCATCATTACAATCGTAATATGACTACTACTATAGTATTAGTAGTATTGTTAATGTTGTTGGCCTTAGTAGACGGCATGCAGATGCAGATGCAGATGCGAACTGGGATGGTGACACTGATCGCGGAGAGAAGGGAGCGGTACGGAAGGTGAGTCGAGTCCATGCATACAGCTGCTGTGTTAAGCACGTCAAGGTTTAGAGTTTAGGGTTTAGAGTATAGGCTTTAGGGTTTAAGGGTTTAGGGTTTTGGGTTTTAGGGTTTAGGATTTAGGCGGTTTGGGGTTTAGTTGCAACGCGCGATTGCACTGTAGCTTTGATTGGCAAGTGCAGCATGTCAAGGTATGACTTCCAGTGGACGCACCTCACGGATCCAGATCCAGTGGCTTTGCGCATGTGAAAAATGTAGAAATACAACACTTCTTTGGATCGTCCCATTGTGTCCAACCTTGACGTTACCGTTAGTAGCAGGAAGCCATTTTTCGGTTTTGGTCACCAGCTGTTCGGCCTTTGGTAGAGAGGCGTAGCTTCTGAGTGTGAGGTCCCGCCATTCGTATGTGACTGCCTTCCCAGACCCCGGGAGGATCCAAAAAGTAGATTCGTTAATGGGGGTTCCTATAAGGAGCCTTTAGTAGTATAGGGTCCCAAATTAGGGGCTCTAGTTTCTAGATCCTCCCGGAGGTCTGGGTTGGGAAGCGCACACGGACCTGAATATTTTCACAAGTTGAGCACTGCACCCCGGCCACTCTACCTTCCTGACCTTTTCGTAGTCTAAGAAACACTGCGGGCTCTGCCGTGGAGGACTCGGACTATAATGTAGGGGCCTCAATATAATTACCAATATTATTTTGGGAGTTCCTTATTGTGACTTTAGTATACTGGGCCCCAAATCCTATTCTAAATATTAAGGCTCCTACTATAGAACCCTTATAGAACCCTTCAAGGATCCCTATGAAGGAACCCTATTCCAATTATTAAGGCCCCTACATTATTCTGATTACTAAGGCCCCTAAACTTAAACCCTTATAGAACCCCTTAAGGAACCCTTCAAAGGAGCCCCCAAAGCCCTATTCTACCTATTAAGGCCCCTACATCAGTCTGCGCCCCAATGCGCCGAGGACATCCTAATTCCTAAACCCTAAACCCTAAACGCCCCTACATTAGTCTTAGCAGCCCCCGCTTGAGCCGAGAACATCCGGAACATCCTCGTCTTGCGCCCGGCGGCCGCGGCACTCGTCAATGTCTGCTGGACCGCACCTTTTCCCTAAGGGTTAAGGGTTTAGGGTTTAG